GTTTTTAAAATAGAAGATATATATATAATTAAAGTAATATAGAGAGTAGTCAATGTATTTTTTCACTCAAATATATGTGTTAAAAAATGAGATTCAATGCGCGGTAACCACGTCCGACATTTTATAAAATTGCTCACCAACTCACTGCAACTTATTTAATATCTCCTCATTATCATTGATACTGTGAGCGACTATTTTGCAATAGTTGTTGTAATATCTTCCTCACGTATTTGTATCATCTTCTCATTCTTGTTGTCGTTTTCTTTTTTCGTCTCATCCCATTTTTATCGTTGAATGAATTGACAAAAAAAATGAATGGTTAAGATTTAGTATCTTATAAAATTATGATTATAATTATATATGAAAATAAATGAATGAATTTAAAATATTAAAATTTGTTCTAGAAAATTTACAACTGCAGAAATCCAAATTATTCAAATTTTTTTAATCAAATAGTGATATGAAATGAGAAGAAGAAAATATGATGAAAAGATTCTTATCCGTATCTCACAGTGGCTTTCCACTAAATGGGGATCAAAGTCCGTCATCACAAGCCGGCTGCATCCAGAACTACAACCTATTTTCACAACTTTAAAGGGGGGGGGGCATGATTATTAAGATTGGTATCCCTGTTTATTATGAATAATAATGCAATTTTTTTTATAAATTTAATGTGATGTTGTCGCACCCGAATCCCGTTCATCCCATAAAAGAAAAGAAAGAGAAGTTGCCACCAAAATTTTAAAAGGTTAATTTTAGAAACTTTAAAAGTGTGGTCTACGAAAACCGAATAAGGTTCGGGAGTTGATTGCGTGTAGGAAAAGTGTTAGGCACCCCACTACACCTGTTCAAGAGAACGGTTGCCCTAAGTTAACTACTCAAAATTAATATAGCCCTTTTAATTATATTTTAATTACCCTAAAAAAAGAAAGAAACAAAGAAAAAAAATTTTACGTACAGAAACAAAAACAAAAATATTTATAAAATTGGATTTGACCTAAGATAAAAATTTGGAGCCTACGTATCCTTTAGAGGGATCAAAACTCACATAAGTTGGGGGTAGAAATGCATGTCATTTAATTGATATCTTTTTAAAAATATTTGTTTGATTATTTAAAAAGGATTTTTTGTGGGTTGTCGTTTTTTAATTCAAGAAAACAATTTTTTATCTTTATTTGAAAATATTTATTATTTTTTTAAAGAAAAATCTTGGGTTACACTTCCTGCGGGGATTCCCATAATTTTACACAAAAGAATAATCATTCCAACCTGTGAAGATTTTAAAAACCTCACACGGCTCTAGAAAACATTTTATTTTAAAATATTTTATTTTTAAGAAAAAAGCTTAGGGTTGCACTTTCTGCGGAAACTCCTATAATCTCACACGAAAGAGCAATCGTGTGAGCCTGCGGGGGTTCTAAAAATCTCATACGGCTCTAGAAAATATTTTTATTTATTAATTTTGATGAACATATTTTTCTTAGTTCAATTAGTAAAACAATGTTTACATCAAAATTTAAGAAAAATGAGTGAAAGCAAGAAATGATCAACACACATTGCCCATAAACTGAGAGCCTCTATATTCACAATAAAACAAGAAAGAGATAGCAAGAAGTATACATGCGTGAAAATAATGCGCATAGTGAGGCAGTACGTACATTTAAAACTTAAAGGGAAAATCAAACAATTAAAACAAGATAAATCACTTGTCATTAGAAAAAAATGAGAATAGGTGGAAGCATGTACCCTTAAGGCTTGCTGCATGAAAAGAATAAAGAACAAGACTTTTTTCTCTTGCCTCTCTTCTACTCTAGAATTGTGCTCTCCTTTCCTCCAACCCTCACTCTCCTATTTATAGGCTCCAATTAGGGTTTTCCAATTTTTCTTTAATTTTTGTTTTTTAATTTTCCTTCATTATGATTCACAATATAACTTCCTATTTAAGAACCAAATCATCATCAAACTGTGGTTTTTTATTTTAATTTTTGTTTTCTTATTTTTCTACTATTATGACTCCAAAATATGTTTCTATTGAGGAGCCAATCAACTTAAATGAGAAATTTTTATTTTTATTTTCTGATTTTTCTTATTTCCCTATTTAATGTGTTTACCTCATATTTTCTAAATTAGAGACCAATCAGCATTTAATTTTATCTTTTGCTTTATTACCATTTATTGTGAGAAAAATATTCTTATTTAATTTTCCTTTTTTCATTTACCACATGGTGGACTTTTCAAATTTAGCCTCCAAGAAAGAATCAAAAAGGATATTAATCTTTTATTAATCATTTTTTTTCCTTTGCTTTAATTTCATTTACATTTAATATTTTTGTGGGGCCCGAACAAAATTAGTTTTTCACAGATATATACCTGTTTATTTAGAATGGATATACAAATATTTAACGATTCACGTTGGCTTTGGTTGTTTAACTGCGAGATGTTGAGTTTGAGTTTTATGTGTGGATGTGTAACATCCATATTTTTATATATAGAATTTAATTAAATTTATAAATAAATTTATTTTAGTATTACGTTAATAAAAATTGAGATATAGGCAAATTATTATTATTATTATTTTATTATTTTTAATCATGTTATTTTGTGTGTGTGTGTGTGTGAATGTGTGTGTGTGAGTGATATTCTAGAAGATTATAGCATGATATAGAAGTCCCACATCGAATAATGACCAGAGTAAAGGAGCTTGAAGAGGCTATATATAGGAGGTAGTGGACGGAGTTTAGAGGGAGTAAACAATTTTCGTACATATCTGAGATAGTCTTAAAAAAGTACTAGTTTTGAGTTTATCAATCGTTGGATCGGCCTAAAATTTGGTCAGCCCATTTGGGACATCCAAGTCGTTAATTTCAACTGGTGGATTGTCATTTTGATCTCCGAGTTACAAGTTATTAGATATAAACTCTATTGTGGTATTTTTGAGGTCAGACTTTGGTTGTATTTGACTGCTAGCTAGGAGACGAGGTAACTAAATTTCTATCTGTTGCATGCTCTAGTATGAAGTTGGTGAGTGGTTTTATAACTAATTCTATAAAAGTATATTTTGTTTTGTATGAAATGTCTTTGTGGGATGCTATTTTAAAAAGGATTAATATCGTTTGTATTGTGAGAAATTAGTACTCATGATTATGATGTGTTATTATGAAATTCGATTGATTATGCATATAAATGTGTCATTCTGAATCCTATGTATCTCGTTGGGTGGGGGCAAGGAGATAATTGGAGTTATTAAGATTTATACACTTGTCACGTGGTATGGGCTTCCATATAGAGCTCTATGGTTGGCCGCTATTATTGTCCCACTAGTTCTTTGAGGGACTGCGACACCACACTAGTTCTTCAAGGGGGACCCATGATCCACCAAGTGCTCTGTGTTCTTTGGCCAATCCACATTACTCGTGTGGTGAGCTTGTCAGAGTTACCAGTCAAATGGGAAGAACTTAGCCAATAGGTCCAATCGGCAGAAATAAGGAGGATATAAGGGTGGATTTGGGTTCAGGAATTACATATGACATGGGATATTCATTAATATTTATAGCTTTTAAATAAATAAAAAGTATGTTATCTCTTTTGAAATGTATAAACTATATGAGATTGGTGGAAATATTTGTTTTATATGATTATTGTGAGTTTAAATGTTAAATGAATGTCTATCAACTATTATTAACTCTTTGTATCCCACCTGACACCTCGCTAGCCCATGCTAGGGTGTGTGACAGGTAGGGTTTAGTTACGGAGATGTTGTCTCACTCCCATTATTTTACCATTTTCAGGAAACCATACGTTAGCGGGACCTTTAGGGAGGACTCCTGAGGCTCAATAGCTGCAGCTAACAGTGTAGAGCTTCTGGACCTTATTTTATGTAATATTTTCATATATTGCCACACATCAGGATTGCATTCATTTGGGACTTATTTTGCCTTCTGATATTTGTATGTCGTTTATTTTAATGAACATATTATACCTTCTATCTTTGTTTTATTTTTCTAGACACTAGATTGGAGTGATAGTAGTGGGCCTGAGGGCCTTAGGTTGCATGTGATTGAATTATTATGGATCCATGATGTGATTATGGCAATTTCTACAAGTTTAGTTATTGTTAGTATTGACAGAAATGGTCAAATCTGAACGGCTATTATAATTTATCATTTGAGGATGTGTTGTTTTATAACTATATTAGCTATGACTAATTCCTCCTAACAATGTTTGCATTTAAATGTGCTATATGATAGTGTATGTTGATTACATATACATGTTATTTCTTTTCTGACCATGATAGCCTTAATTGAGGCTAAATGCCTTTCTATTATGGTTAGCCCCTTAGTGATGTGATTGTTTCTAAATAACCATGATAGGGTATGTTTACTAGTTTTAGTCCTTTCTATCATGGTTAGTTCTAGTTAGTAAGTTGTGAGTTTACATTTTTGTAGTCAGAGCTAGGGGCTTTTCCTTTTTTTGATTTTGAATTGCTTCCTGCATGCATATAGTGGCAATATACGTGATTGCATAAACTTTCCTAAAATGTCCTTACTTTTCTCGTGTTTTCTTTCGTTTGGTTGTATTCATGGGTTCCATCCTTAGGTGGGGAGAATGGCAAGACCATGAAGAACTGAACCCATAGTGGAGGAGGCTTCTTCTTCTCTAGAGCAACCTCTTAATCAACCTAATGATCAACTACCTGAGTAACCTCAACAGCAGAATAACGAGGTTTTACTAACACAGTTACGACAAGTAGTGGCTGAAGTCGTAGAAGAAAGGCTTAGAAAGCTGGAGGAGGAGATTATTGGAAAAAGGAATTTTGAGATCAAAGCAGAGAGAAACCTACTGGAGAGTAAGAGTGTAGGTGACTTGCAGTCTAGAGAGAGAGGTGCTCCAAGTGCTGAGGGCGGGAAAAAAACTGTCCAACGAACTCCTCTAGTGGATCTTTCAATGAAAACAGTATGGAAAGATGTGAGCCATCGTAATCCCCCGAGATTTAAGGGTGAATGAATCCAATTGAGGCTGAAGGTTGGATTGATAAACTGGAGACCATCTTCAGAGCTGCCCTTTGCACTACTCAAAATAAGGTGCAAGTAGCTATTATGCTGTTAGAGGGACAAGCTAAGCGCTGGTGGGAAAGTGTGAGCCCAGCTGATAACTCACAAATTACTTGGGATGAATTCAAAAGGATGTTCTTTGATCACTACTTCCCGTCTGCCCTACGTCAAGACAAGGAATCAGAGTTCTTTGCCTTGCAACAAGACAATATTCATGAAGATGACTTCATCGCTAAGTTTATAGACCTATCCAAATATGTGACATTGTTGTGGAGGGATGAGCACTTAGGTTGGATGGCTAGGCAATTACAAGAAAGGGCTAGACCAAACTTGAAGCAACAACTAGCCCTAGTTCCAATGACCGATTTTGGAGACATATGTATCAACCTTCGAGTTACAGCTAGGCGAACTGGTGAGGCTGATGAAGCTCGTAGAAGGGATTCTCAAGGGCGATTTTCCTTATACCCTGGACCAACTGGAGGGGTTAGTAAGAGAAATATTATGGGCACAGGAAGTGTAGGTCCATATGGAAGAATCAAAACTTAAGCCATAAAAAACCTGTACAGAAGAGCTCAGCCCAGAAGAGCATAATCTCAAGATCTCAATCTAATAGAAACCTGATCACTTATCATGAATCAGTGATGTCAACCCCTACTATCTATGGACCTTGCTTATAGTGTGGAAGGAACCATCCTGGAAAATATTAGGAATACTACAAGTGTCACAAGATGGGGCACATTGCTTGTTATTGTTCTGAGAATTAGCATAACACTCAAAACTCCCAGGATACTCGATCACTAATGTCAGGCGGTGTCTTTGCTATCACTTAGGAAGAAGTAGGTGCTGCCCCTAATGCCATCAAAGGTATGATATCCCTCGAGGGACATAACGTCAAAGCACTATTCGATTCTAGTGCTACCCATTCCTTTGTTTCTTATAAATATGTCTTGCATTATAATTTGCATATCTCTAATATGCCTGCTATTTTTAGTGTATCAACTCCTACGGGTTTTTCTGTTAGAACTACTCAAGCTTGTTTAAACCTTATGTTAGATTTTAAAGTCTGTAGAATAACAATAGATCTAATTTGTTTGCCATTACAAGGGATGGATGTAATTATTGGGATGGATTAGTTATCACGTAATAATGCTGTGTTAGATTGTAGAAAAAGAGTAGTTGTCTTCCCTGGAGATGTGATGCCTGCAGGACCATTTAGTGGGTCAGTATTCTTGTCTGCTGCTCAAGTAGATGAATGCATACGAAAAGGATGTCAAGCCTATGTAGTGGTCTTCTTAATATGTAGTGCTCTCTCTGTTTTTTTTTTTATTTGCCGCTGCTCACTCCTCCTGTCGTGCTCCCTCCTTTTCACGAAGATGATGATTATAAATATTAGATATTAGGTTGGGGGCAAAATGTTGCGTTTTGCTCCCCTTTTTATTATTATATATATTATTTATTTATTATTTATTATATTTTTTCCTTTTTTTTAATTTTCATTTTTATTTTTTAATCTTCCAAAAACCTGCAACCAAAATTCAACAATAAGGTAGTATTAATTGTCCTTAAAAATCAATCAATCACAATTATGACAATTTTACCCCTATTATGCACTAATTCAAGTTAAAGCACTCTAATATAAATTATACTCAAATAATACAATTAAGGACTAATAATAATGACAAAAACCCACCAAAAATATATAAAAATGCATGTAAAAACATAAGTTTGTCAGGTTAGCTAATTTTCAATGTTGTATTACACAGTAACATAAGCATTTCTTTTGGTTTTTTTTTTTTTTTTTGCCAACATAACATGCATTTCAAACTGAGTGAGACGGAAAGTGTAATTTTAAATTACAAATTTATAATTAAAACATATTAAATATGTTGGTTTTTCTTAAAATTAGGGCTAGTAGAAAGGGCTAGCTTGCAATGGCTGTGTGAACTAAATGTTGTGCAGGCTGAAATAACTTGCAAATTGGTAGTCGTCTTTTAGTTATTTAAAACTTGCACATGGTATTTTAAACCATGGTTTGGGAAAAAATTATCCAAACACCCATCAATTTTTTGAAATCATGGTTTTATGATAAAATTATGGTTTGCCCATCAAAACCATGGTTTGTAATAAGCAAAAAAATTTTGCTTTTTGAGCAGTTCTCCCCCCACCCCCTATAGTAATTTTTTTTTTGTTGAAAACAATTATTTATTTTTCTAAAAACATAATCTTATATTTTATAATTATATATACACATATTAAGAATTACCACTTATTTTTTTAATCTGCTCAAATTAGTCAACTAGTTCTTATATTTAGAACTGGATGTAGTAATTAATATATGTTTTCATACATTGTTTATTATGTTGGCAAAAAAAAATTAACAAATTTATTATTCCAATATTTAATATAGGACCTAATTGGAGAGTTAATATTGGTCTTAAATGTAAGGTTATTATTTCGGTTCTTAATGTAAAACCTAATTAGAGAGTTAATATGTAGACAAGGTCTTAAACTTTTATTGAAGGAAAGCTTTGACCATACTAGTAATATGTAGTTAAAACAAAAACTTATTACAAAAGCTCCATATCGATGCAACATCTTAATTATTACGGCACTTTTTTTTAATCATTTTTCTATAAACATATTTAATCTTTTTTTTATAAATATATATACACATATTAATTATTTAGTAATTATAGTTTCTTATATATTATCAATTACGTTGGTAAAAATATATATATTATTAACAATTTTTTCTTCATATTAAAATATATTATAAAATCTATCTTTTATGTAATTATTATATTTGTATGCCCTTTTTAGTAATTTGTACATATGAAAAGTGTTTCTGACAACAATTATCCAAATATTCTCAATTTATCAGAATCACTTTTTCAGAAAATCTATTCTCCCCAAAATCTATTCTCTATAAGCTATTCTCTAAATCATGGTTTGGTTTTATCCAAACGCTCCCTAAAAGTCAAATATATGACTCCAATTTGAGGTTCATATCCTTTGGCACACCAGCTTCACTTGACTATAATTCGTAGAGAAAGTAGCCGACGTTTAATATTGTTATGTTTAATTAATTTCTTTTTTGGGAAAAAAAAATCAAATGACAATATGTATGTAGCCTAGCGACGAAATGCCAAATGCTAGGGAAAAACTGGAGATAACATGTGAGCATGTTGCTCCTGACCAGGTACACATATTACATGTGTGCGCGTGTGTCTATATCTATATATATATATATATATATATATATATGTATGTATATTAGTCTACAATAGAAAGAGATTTTATTAAACTAAAAGGTCTACAGTACAAAACGAAAATCTAGATAAAAACAAACAAAATGAAAGAAACATCAAAATAAACAATGGCAAAACAAAATTAAATAAACTGTCTCGTGTCAATCTCTAGTCTATCAGCATTTGAAGATGCATTTTCGAAGAAACTTCTTCAGACACAATTTTCTGAACATTGCCATCAATACTGACCAGTTAAAAACCGCTATCATTCAATAAAATAAAAATAATGGTGATGGTCTGTGCATCTCCATAATTTTTTTAATTAATCAAATCTGAATTACAAGCAAAAGTAGCCTAACCAAATATTCACTTGTAGAAAGCAATCTAATTATAAACTAATCACAGCTTTCATTCCCTCGTTAACAATACTCTTCACATTCCTTTGCATTCATTGCGTAGTTGTGCAATAATTACACTGCCTCTCACCACTCACTTAGCTTTTTGCTTCAGGTACCATTTAAGACGCCGGTCAGAAAATGGCAATGACGAGGGGCGGGACACCACGAACGGCGGCGGGATCTGGTGGAGGAGATCTATGTAAATGTTGTTTCGGCTCATTAATCAGTTTGGGTTTCTTTGTCTTGTTCCTATGGTTAGGTCTGCGACCCAACGAACCTAAATGCTCTATCGCAGCCTTCATCGCTTCTGAACTGAACAAAACCTCGAATGCAACTACCAAGTCCGCCATAGTCTTCATGGTCGAGTCCGATAACAGAAACAAGGAATCTGAGATTCGATACGACGATGTCAACTTCACCGTCGGTGTTTTTCTTGATCGGAATATTACCAGCCCGATTGGGAGCTCCATCATTGCCGGGTTCTATCAGGGGCACAAGAAGAATGCGAAGTCCGTTGAATTCCAGCACACTTAACCGGACGGCGAAGGTGGACGGGAAAACGTACTTTCGGATGAATTTTACGATGTTGGTGAAGTACAGGATCATGTTCTTTTACACCGCGCAACACAGATTATGGGGAGGAGCTAATGTCACCGTTAATGATGCCGGCTTGAAAGATGAGAAAGATGATATCAGACTCGGACACTCTCTTCCAGTGATCGAGTCTGGCGCAACCCCGCTCACTACCGGATGCCATCGTATGCTTCTGCTTCTGGGTCTTCTTGTCCATTTTGCACTTTTAGGTTTGTCTCTCTAAGCGGTGGTGGTTTTTTGTTTTTTTGTTTTTGTATGTTTTGTGCATGAACATTTCAGGCTAATTATCATGCGTGCTAGGACATCCCACGTAGGGTTGGATTTGGATTCTGAGTCAACATCTTAAGATGCTCTTTTAAAGCGTAATTCTTGTTTGAACCTCTTCAAACTAATGGGCCAACATCCGGATAGTCCAGGTTTATTTATTTTTTGTTTTTTTAAATGATTATTTTAATTTATTAATAATCTAAAATAAAGTTGAAGATAGGGAAGGACAGGGATATTGAGAATAATTGTAACCATAACGATATGCATTCCAATCCATAATTTTTTAAACCAAAAAATGAGAATTAATCAAAGTAATCCTAAACATAAAGATAGGGGACCAGAAGAAATGGGAATATAAACTAAAAAGATGCAAGAAATATTGAAGCAATCAAAATCTGAAAAATTAGGGGAACAATTGAAAACCACAAAAATAGAAGAAAATGGAGGAATTTGCCAATTGCCCAATTTCATACTCAACATCATACCGATAGCCATTAATTTTGTTCTACACACATCATACCTATAGCCTTGGGAGTCGGGAAACACTGTCACAGCGAACAAATAAAGCCCACTGAAGAACTCAGTAATCAAAAGATTTAAAGCACAAGAAAAACAAAAATAAATAACAACACAGAGGGAATAAAACAATAACTTTTAATCGTAATGTTTACTGCAGAAATTGAAAGAATATGAACTCTATAACCTAAATTTAAAAGAATTTTATTGGAAATACATAAGGTTCACACTCTCATAACTTTGTTTTAATGAAAACAACAAATGAACAAGGATTACAAAAGTCATGGACATCATCAAGAAACCAACTTATGGGTATAGACGGTGAACACACCTTTCGAGCACAGAACAATCTCTCTCTTTTCCCTCTCTCTCTCTCTACTTCATCCAGTCAAATTCGGAGGACAGCCAATATGGTTTGAGTAAGGGTGAGAAGTATGACCACAATAGCAGCAGCAGAAGCCATAGTATGCCAAGCCGTCTTGCAATAATCATGTCTCAAATTTGCCATCCTCTTGTTCCAAGTACGTTTACAGTATTTATTCAACTCTTTGCAAATACCATGGTAATGAGTACTTATTATATACTCCCCCTTGATATTTTTACGGACAGGATTAAATAAATTGGCAACATCATTGGCATTGCCTAGAAAGTTGTGGATGATTTTCTTATGAGTGAGTAGATCTTGATGCTCATTGATTAGGCAATCCAATACAAAAAGCATACTCAGTAATGTAAGATTTGAACTGATAATGACATTGCTCTCAAGCTACCATATTACGAAAAAAATCTCAGTTCTGTCTTCCAAGAAAATCTCTGGGATCTCAAAATAAGGCGGGCTTGAAAAGTTCAAGTCAAGTAAGCTCTTGCCTTTTTTTGCGCTTGCCTTCAACGTTACTCCTGCTTCTTGCAACTCGGTGGCACTGTATAAAAGAAGATCACGTGGATCCTCTATGAATTCTGGTTCCCCAATATGACCACTGGTTCTTGTTCCTGATAAGAAAAACGACCTACGTAGATCGGTGAAGTGCTTTATCTCGCCAAATTCAGTTCCGTGTGAAACTTTTTTGTAAGACCGAAAGAAGGTAAATGTGATCTCACGAAACGAAGGGGTCTTATTATTGCTATTTTTTTCTGACAGGCCAGAGGGAAAAGCTTCCTTGTATAGGCGTTCAATAACAAAGAATGGAACTTGATTCTCAAGTAAAATCAAATCCTTAATAGCAGCTTCTAGCCACCAATGTTCCAACAACTCTAGTTCTTTTCTTATATCATCGTTGCGAGCCTTCTTAACTGTGATAGCATACACAATCGTGAAGAGTTCAATGATGAAAGCAGCATCCAACAATATCAACCTCACAAATTCCTTCTTATTCAGTTTGATCTCATCAGAGTAAGACGCCCGAACCAGTGGCTCACAACGCATCACAAACCTGACTAAATCATCCAAGCCTGTCTCAGTTTTTACCAACAACCTGTTGAAAAACATTTGTTTGTGCCTTTCCATGCCTTTTAGTTTCCCGTTATCGTAATGAAAGGGACCAATGGAAACAACTTTTGAGGTATAATAATAGGCATCTTCATTATTTGGGTCACGCATGGTATGGGGCACCCTGTAGATGCAACATTTTCGTGATGATGATCGGATCTCATCTTCATTACTATCTTGTTTCATTGCTTTAACATAGTTTATCACCTCAGCTTCCATCATCTGCCAGGTTTGATTTAGAAAGCAATCAGCTAGAAATTACATGGGCAATATATTTGTTTAAAATAGTAATTAAACAAAAGGAAATAATCAAGGAAAGAAAGAAAGAAATTAGGATCGTACAGGATGTATGACTGCTGTTGATTTTTCCACCCTTTCTTGAGAGGGCTCAGAGACCCACATGTCTATCTTTATGCTGGCCATCTTCGACAGAACTCTATGTGCTCTTCCTGGATACTGTACAAGCGCGAATTTGCTGTAAAGTTGTTTAGGCCAATTAAAACTAATTAGTCAAATACTGTTCAATTTCAAATCGTTGAAATTTATTTTTGAATAAAAAGCAATTGTATTATAAAATAAAATATAAAATATTCAAAATATAAGTTCAGTAAGAGTCTCATGAAGAGAAACTCCTTAAATATAAAGAAATATAATGAGAAAGCATTAAGTCATTGAAATCAAATCCATCAATATTAATAATTAATCATACTAAACATAAATATTTATGAAATTCAAAACTTGTATTAATATTAGTTTCTCCTTTATGCTCTTCTATTTTTCTTTGGATTGGGCTTCCTGCACGTTTTATAAATTGAGTACTGCCCAATATATATTTGAGTCTGTTAACTCAATAAAAATGATAAACTCATAAAGTAGTTAACTCATGAGTTTATCTGAATTTACAGTTGGTATGAGTTGAAATCAGAATTAAAATGATTTTGTAAGCTAGAAATATAAAAATGATGAATTCAGATTGTGCGAGTTTGATAATAGTGGTTAGAAACAAAGAGCTAGAGAATAAACAGGTTTTTTTATCCATGGAAAAATAATTAAATAAATTAACAATAACGGATATACGTACTTGAAACTTAAAAAAGTTAAGCTGTAATTAATTTCTTTTTAAGGGCTGATTTTTAATTTCATAAAAGTTCTATGAGTAGAATTTAAAAATGGTTGAAAGGCTAATAATTGACGAATTAATTAAACTTGCATTTGAAATCTGAGAAGCTGTAAGCAAAAGGAAAGTGAACAAAATAAGGAAAATAATTCACTACTGAATGAGAATACCTTGTGATCTTCCAAAAGAATAGGATGAGTTTTGATGAGAGGTTATGTAGCGATTGTGTTTCTGATGTTCAATTGTTGAGGTTCCACTTACTATATATAGTTTTTACTTTTGATGTATCCCTCTACAAGCTACAGGTGCTCTTTCTTTTTTGCTTTTGGGAAAATAAATGTTTTTTCTACGTTGCAAGGAATGAATTTTCTGAACAAAGGCATTTGAAAGTCATTTTTAGTTTATGGTTCTTACAATGTTTATTACATGGCTTTGAAGTAATAGAATCTGTGATTGCTTAAATAATGGCCCTATCAAATTCCAGTTCTATTATATCTGAAATAAATAATTTATTACTTGTTGTATCATACAAGGGATAAAAAACATTTAGAATAAATAAGAACAGTCTTATACACCCATTTCACCAATCATATATCTGTCGTTCCTTTTCCTACTACACTTTTGTTCACTATACAGTGAGAGATTTCAACAACAATAACAAGTCTTATTTCATAAGCACGGTTGACTATATAGATTGCATAATACTATTATACTCTATCAACAACCAAAATTTTAGCTAAATTGTTAACCAGAAGATCCAACTCAGTAACTTTATTAAGTGTAATTTCTTTGGTATTTTTCCACCTATTTGCAGAAGAATTGATATTGCCTGTTCCGTCCCTCCTCGCCAGCCCTTTCAGTTACCCTTTTTTTGGGTATATATCCTAACCACATCAAAATATGATCTAATTATAAACTAATCACAACTTTCATTCCCTCATTAACAATACTCTTCGCTTTCCTTTACATTCATTGCGTAGTTGTGCAATAATTACACTTCCTCTCACTACTCACTTAGCTTGTTGCTTCAGGTACCATTTAAGACGCCGGTCACAAAATGGGGATGACAAGAGGCAGGACACCACGAACGGCGGCGGGATCTGGTGGAGGAGATTTGTGTAAATGTTGTTTCAGCTCGTTAATCAATCTGGGTTTCTTTGCCTTGTTCCTATGGTTAGGTCTGCGACCCGATGAACCTAAATGCTCTATCGCAGCCTTCATCGCTCCTGAATTGAACAAAACCTCGAATGCAACTACCAACTCCGCCATAGTCTTCATGGTCGAGTTTGATAACGAAAACAAGGAATCTGGGATTTGATACCACAACATCAACTTCACCGTTGGTGTTTTTCTTGATCGGAATATTACCAGCCCGATTGGTAGCTCCATCATTGCCAGGTTCTATCAGGGGCGCAAGAAGAATGTGAAGAAATGGAGCTCTGTTGAAACACATGCCGGACACTTAACCGAACAGCGAAGGTGGATGGGAAGACGTACTTTCGGGTGAATTTTACGACGTCGGTGAAGTACAAGATCATGTTCTTTTACACCACACGACACAGATTATGGGGAGGAGCTAGTGTCACCGTTAATGATGCCGGCTTGAAAGATGAGAAAGATAATATCAGACTCGGACACTCCCTTCCAGAGATCGAGTCTCGCCCAGCCCCGGTCACTACCGGATGTTATCATATGCTTCTGGTTTTGGGTCTTGTCCATTTTGTACCTTTAGATTTGTCTCTATAAGCATTGGTGGTTTTTTATTTTTTTATTTTTGGTATGAACATTTCAAGCTAATAATCATGTGTGCTAGGATATCTCGCCTAGGTTTGGATTTGGATTCTGAGTCAGTATCTGAAGATGCTCTTTTAAAGCTTAATTCTTCCTTTTTTTAAAATAAAAAACTTTTAAAGCGTAATTCTTGTTTGAACCTCTTCAAACTATTTTAATGGGTCAAGCTCAGGTTTGTCCAGGTTTATTTACTTTTTATTTTTTTAAATGGTTATTTTAAGTGATTAATAATCTAAAATAAAGATGAAATATGGAAGGACAGGGATATTGAGAATAATTGTAACCATAATGATATGCATTCCAATCCATAATTTTTTTAACAAAATTAAAGAATTAATCAAAGTAATCCTAAAAATAAAGATAGGGGACCAAAAGAAACGGGAATATAAACTAAAAAGATGCAAGAAATATTGAAGCAATAAAAATCTGAAAAATTAGGGAAAAAATTCAAAACCACAAAAATAAAAGAAAATGGAGAAATTTGCCAATTGCCCAATTTCATACTCAACATCATATCTATAGCGATTAATTTTGTTCAACACACCTCAAAACCTTAGGAAATACTGTATCACGGGGAACAAATAAAGCAAGCGAAAATACGGTATCTCATAAGCACAATTATTAGATTGTTAACAGAAATAACAAAATTCTAATGCTTAAACACTAACCAAACAAACTCAAAGCCCACTAAGGAACTCAGTAATCAAAAGAGTTAAAGCACAAGAAAAACAAAAATAAATAACAACATAGAGTAATAAAAACGTAAGTTTTTATCGTAATGTTCACTGCAGAAATTGAAAGAATATGAACTCTATAACCTAAATTTAAAAGAATTTTATTTGAAATACATAAGGTTCAAGCTCATCATAACTTTGTTTAATGAAAACAACAAATGAACAAGGATTACAACAGTCATGGACATCATCAAGAAACCAACTTATGGGTGTAGATGGTTGACAACCTCAATTATTTTTATATATTTTGATATCTTTTATATGGGTTTTGTCAACTTAATTAGTCCTTTTGGCCTTAATTGATTGTTAATTGATTCAAAATGTTTTATTTTGAATTATTATTTTATGGGGACAAAATTGTCATATTTTGATTTAATTGTGACTACTTATCCTTGAATTTTGCTTGCAAGTTTTTGGAAGATTTAAAAATTAAAATTAAAATTAAAATTAAAAAAGAAAAAATACAATAAAAATAATTAAAAAGGGGAGCTAAACGTTGCGTTTTGCTCCTTCACCCCCCCCCCCCAAAAAAAGCTATTATTCAAATCATCCTCATTTGGAACGAGGAGGCACAAGCTGGCTGCGAAAGAGAAAAGAGAAAGCGAGCAGGGCGTGAACGAAGAACAGAAGGAGGCTCCACGGCGAGGGGGAGAGTCTTCCATCACCATCATCACCTTCATCTTCTTATTCTTCTCCGCGTGGCAAAGTGATCATCGACGAAGCAATGGCGCCATGAAGCTGCAATCAGATCCAATAACTCATTCTCACTTATATATTTTCCTCTTCAGCATTCCTCCATGGTAGCTTGTAGCAGAATGTTGATTGTGGCATTCACTATGACAAACCGTGGCTGACTTTCATGATTCTCTAGCACAATGTTTATGACTTGAACTTGGAGCTTCAAAGGGGAGTTTCAACTCTTCCAATCTTCTTTTTTTTTTATTTTAATTGTAATTTCTAGGTCTTCTTTTTAATGATTTATATTTGTATTGAGATTGGTTGTAGTTGTTGGAATCTTTGATTAGCATTTAACATTATACTATGATTAGCTTTAATTTCTTTACATTGTACTAGGTCAGGTTATGTTTTAAAATTATTGTGAACATTTAGTGGTAATTCAAGGGGCTTGGTTATCGGACTAAAAATGTTAATTGATTTTCTTTGATTCTCTTTGACTAATTGTGCTGAAACAGTTTAATTGTGAATAATTAATATGTAAAGTGGCTTGGTGTTGATTATTCTAATTAAACCGAGTCTAAGGGATGGCTCTTAGAGTCTTTTGAATTTAGCTAACTCCCAAATTAATTGAAGTAATGATAGTCTTAATCATTGTGCTGGAGGATTGCTTTTCCATTTGCTACCACTTGTTAATTCTCTTTGTTTATTTCATGCATATCCATTTTATAAACTAAAAATTGAAAAATTATTTACTCATTTTACATTCTTTTAAATTTTGCCAATTAGTTAGTTAAAAAGAAAATCAATCCCTTTCCAAATCAATTCTTTACTTTTAATACTTAGTTTGCTTAGGATTTCAAATAAAGGCTCCTTAAAGTGAAATGACCCGAGTTTTGCACTATATTGCATTACTTGGATTTATTTTTGATTGGGAATCCCAAGATGAATGACAAAGGCTCTCATCAAATGGCGCCGTTGTTGGAGAGCCAAGAACTTGGTTTCCTAGTAACCGAGTGTCAAATTTTGGTTCACTTGGTCCTTGAGTCTTTAGATTTTGCATTTAGTTAGTTTTTGCATTTTTAAATAGTTTGCATTTGTTTTTTGTTTTTCATAGCATTTCTTTTATTTGCATAGAAATTTTTTCCAAAATACAACTAAACATCTTGATTTTTCATTCATTTGCATTTTTGTTAGTAGTGCATAGTTTGAGCATCTAGCATCATATAATTGCATTGGAAACTCCAAAAAAGAAGCACATAGGTTCTTCATTCATTGTATTTTTATTGTCATTTTCATTTTACCTTTTGCATTTTCTTGGTGATTCTTGATTATCTTTGAAATTTTGAAAGTGATTTTGCTGTCGGCATTTGGTTGATTTCTTCATCCTTGCATGCTTGAGCTTATCATTTTTGTGAATTTATTGCTATCACAAGGTTGATTTTGCTTTCCAAAAAAAAAAAGTTTTATTTTCAAAATTATAGTCAAATTTTTAAATTTTTTGCCTAGAAAATTTTGAGCTTCGGTTTCCTAAAGTTTTTGGCCATTCTACGCAAGACCAATAGCTATGCTATTGGGTGTGGCAAATTTTGGCCAAATTCCTTCATTTTGGGCATTTTTTCAATTTTTCTCTATTTTCTAGAGTTCTTCCATATTTTTTTTCCCTGTTTGTGTGTTTTCCTGTTAGTTTTCTGGTTGTTCTAGCTTTTTTTTTTTAGGATTGTTTTGAATTTCTTTAGGTTGTTTTTTGTTGGGAATTGATTGTGTGACTCATGGCTTGGTTTAATAGCAACCATGATCTACCCTCACATTCTCACTTTTATGCAGGAAATAGCATGTGGAATGAAGCACCTTTTAATTCAACATATTCTCAAGAGATTGAAGAGTTGTTACAACAGTTGGACTCTTTCCAAACTCAGCCAGAGTCTCAAATGCCTAATCACCTCTCTACCCATGACCCTTCTTGGATGAACCATCCTCCACATCAATCACCTAACCCATCACTCCAACCTCACCAACCATACTTTAAACATATATCTCTACCATATACATACCACCAAGAACCACCTCCTTTTCCATATGAATAGTACCACCAACCCTCGTCCCAATCCAAGTACCATTCTCTCTCTCCCAATCTCATAAACATCAATTCAATGAACCTGACCCATTTCTTTCCTAAGAAGGACCATATATGATTTTTAAGAGAAGCTTATGACCACTTAAATTCATACTACCATGGATTACTTGAAAAAGCACGAATATCTAGAATCTTAAAGGAATCAGAGGAAGAGTTAGGAGAATGTAAGAGTGTATTGGAGAAGATCTTGAGTGATATAGCTCAAACTGAATCTGAAAATGGGAAGGATGAACCAAAATGCCCAGATTTACTCATACGAGAAGCCGAGATGAAGTAAGAGCATCTACAAACTTATAAGAACTTATGCCCTACATCAGGCCATATTGATCCTCTTCTTGAGGAGATTGATCCTTATGCTATAACTCCTATTCCTGTTGAAGTTATTTATGATGTGAGTGATGATGAGGTGGATGAGGAAATCATAGTTGAATCCCCTCAAATGTTTAAAAATGAAAATTCTCACTTGAACACTTCTAATAGTAGTTGTTTAGTTGATGATGTTACTTCCATTGTCATTTCTTCGTTGTGTGAAGAATATGTTTCTCTTTCTAGTGCTAGATTGGATGGTGCAGTTGATTCTGATTTGAACAAACCTTAATCTTGTTCTTACAATGCCCACACTATGCATGGATTGCATAGATAACAAGTATGATATACTTGTTAGGTGGCAAAAGTAGAACTTTGGTAAAGTGTGTGCATTGCCTTCTAGTACTAAAAGTGCTGACAATATAAAGTATGATATTGATATGAATCGCTTGGATGTTGATCCTGTGGAGAAATGTGAATTTAAACATAGCCTTGAAAATTATCTTTCTAAAAATCCCATTGAGTTGCATGCTTCTAATGTGTTAGTAGGGAAAGATTCAAAAATTTTGAAAGACAAAATTGTAAATAAAAATGAATATTTTCATCTACTTCTTTCTTGTAACTTGCCTCTTGATTTAAGTAGCTATGTAAATAATAATATTGCATTGCATGATCATATTCTGCATAACTCTTCTTCTGCTTCCACTCTTTTACCTGTTATCTCTTGTGAATGTGACAGTAATGTGTTGTACTCTAATAACCGTAAGTTGGATTCCTCAGTTTCCACGTCACATAAACCTGAGTGTTTTAAAATTTTAAATGATTATTTGACTCCTACTGATGGGAGTATCATTGACTTTCTTGGATGTGATAGCTACTTGAAGAGCCTAGATCATAAAATGTCTTTACTTTATTTGAAATCTCTCGATGTCTCTATTATTAGATTTCGTACTGCTGTCAGCTTGTTTTCTGTGCAGACGCATAGCTGGATGGGACCTTCTCGGCACCAAACTCCTCCAAAAGCTCTTGGACCTCTTCCAATTGACATTGAGCAACCACCAAGAAAGTGCAATCATCAAGAACAATCCTTTTTGCTAAGCTTCATGTTTCTCATTATTGATGAGAATTTCTCTTTTAAGAGTCTAAGGTGCTTTAAGTGCAAGGTTGTCTCTTTCCTCACTTATTTTCTCTTAGCTTTGCATTGATTAAGTATGGGGGAGCTAGTCTAGTAGAAAAGGTAGCCTTGTTTTTGTTTGGTCCCCTATTGAGCCTTTTTTCTTCCTCTTGTCATTACCTTGGCCTTGGGTTTTGCATTGAGGACAATGCAAAATTTAAGTGTGGGGGAGTAGGGATTGTTGTTTAGTTATTGAGCTGATTAAAAAAAAAAACTTTGCCTTTGGATTTGTTCCAATTTCCTAAGTATTGTTGCTATAATTGCTCTCTTCTTTACCTTATTGGTTGATTTCTGAATAGCATCGCATGATTTGAGAGTAATTCTTGCTTAGGAATTTTGCTGCTGGTTTCTATGTCTTCCTGTTTTCATTCACCTTAGTGTTCTGCACTGCTGTATGGGCAAATTGTTGTTTTCTCTGTTGCTGACTTGACTTTTGTAATCTCTGGGCATCTTTGTTAAAATCCTTTTGCATAATGCTTGTGAAGGTTGCATGGCTGAGTCTGAGTGCATTTGATTTGAGTGATTTCTGTTCTTAGTTGGTTAGCATAGTAGAATGCCTTTGGTGCATTGTTATTAATCTTGTTTCATAGTTTGATCCTTAAGGAGGAAACATCTTGGAGAAAGCCTTGATGAAAGGATTTTTGAGCCATGTATTATTTCTCATCTTGTGTGATTTTCACCTAGTTATGGTTAACCTTTAGAACTTGTCTAGATTCTTTTTCAAAGTTGCATTAATACCTAGATTTGTGAAGATGATAGGAGAATTCATTTCTAAACCCTTTACCTAAACACAAGCTACTTCATTTAACCTTTGTTCACCCCTTTGAGCCTTCACTTTCATTTCACTAATTGCTTTTTAGCAAATGTTTTGCATGAGTTACATTTGGTTTTTCATTTTGAAAAGTACATCATTAAAGTCTATATCTTTGCCTTCTTGGGTTTGGATACCCAAGAAAAAAAAAAGTAAAAAACAAAAAAAAAAAAGAAGAAAAAGAAATAGAAAAAGGCAATAAAAAATAAATAGAAAAAGCAAAAAAAAGAAAGAAAGTTATAGGAAAAAAATAAGTTGCAACAAAAGAATAAAATTTGAAATGAGGCATTCCATGGTGGTTTGAAGAGCAAAGATTTCTGTTTCAAAAGTCTAAAACCTGCACGTTGGTGATTCTTTTATGATTATACTTTAGCTCACTTTGAGTTTATACTTTACGACTCATGCATCTCACTTGTAGTTTATTTCATTCATTTAACCTTGCTTTCTGACATTACAGCCCTTCAAGTCCTTTTGCTCATGAGTCTAAGGTATGTTAGTGGTGGAGAGATTAGAATCTCTACAAGCTTATGGTAGGTGCTAATCTAGGTGGATTGAGTGAAATTTTTCCCGTTTGAGAGATGAGTGAAACACTCGTATCTTATGTGAGCTCTATTAAATTTCTCTTCCTTTATCCTACTATGTTTCTTATGTTAATTTCTTTGCATTGAAGTATTCCATGATTGCTTATTGATTAGGAATAAAGGTTGATTGAGTTAATTGCACATTCATGCTTAGTTGATTTTATGTTTGCTTGCATTGAGTGTCTCTATTAGACTCTTCTTCACAGATATTTTGCCCAAGAGTGTAAAAGGCTAAGCGCGGGGAGTTGACAAATTCAATTATTTTTATATATCTTGATATCTTTTATCGTAATGTTCACTACAGAAATTGAAAGAATATGATTGAAAGAATATGAACTCTATAACCTAAATTTAAAAGAATTTTATTGGAAATACGTAAGGTTCAAGCTCATCATAACTTTGTTGTTTTTTGTTTAATGAAAACAACAAATGAACAAGGATTACAACAGTCATGGACATCATCAAGAAACCAACTTATGGGTGTAGATTGTGAACACAATTTTCAAGGACAGAACTCTCTCTCTCTCTCTCTCTCTCTCTCTCTCTCTCTCTCTCTCTCTCTCTCTCTCTGTGTGTTTCATCCAGTCAAATTTGGAGGAAAGCCAAAATGGTTTGAATAAGGGTGAGAAGTATGACCACAATAGCAGCAGTAGAAGCCATAGTACGCCAAGCAGACTTGCAATAATCACGTCTCAAATTTGCCATCCTCTTGTTCCAAGGACGCGTACAGTATTGATTCAGCTCTTTGAAAATCTGATGGTAAGGAGTACTTATTTTATACTCCCCCATGATATTTTTACGGAGACCATTAAATAAATCAGCAACACCATTGGCATTGCCGAGAAAGTTGTGGATGATTTTCTTATGAGTGAGTAGATCCACATCTTGATGCTCATTTATTAGGCAATCCATTACAAAAGCATACTCAGTAATGTAAGAATTGAACTGATAATGGCATTGCTCTAAAGCTATCATATTACGAAACAAAATCTCTGTTCTGTCTTCCAAGAAAATCTCTAGGATCTCAAAATAAGGAGGGCTTGAAAAGTTCAAGTCCACTAAGCTCTTGCCTGGTTTTGTGCTTGCCTTCAACTTTACCCCAGCCTCTTGCAACTCGGTCGCACTGTATAAAAGAAGATCATGTGGATCCTCTATGAATTCTGGTTTCCAAATATCATATGATAAAAAGAACGACCTAAGTAGATCTGTGAAGTGTTTTATCTCACCAAATTCAGTTTGAGGTGGATTTTTATTGTAAGACCGAAAGAAGGTAAATGTGAGGTGAAGAAATGAAGGGATCTTATTGTTGCTATTTCTTTCTGATGGGGCGGAGGGAAAAGCTTCCTTGTATAGCCGTTCAATAATAAAGAATGGAAGTTGATTCTCAAGTAAAATCAAATCCTTAGTAGCAGCTTCCTGCCACCAATGCTCCAACAACGCTAGTTCTTTGCTTATATCATGCTTGCGAGCCTTGTTATCTCTGATAACATGCACTATCATGAAGAGTTCAATGATGAAAGCAGCATCCACTAATATCAACTTCACAAATTCCTTCTCGTCCAGTCTGATCTCATCATAGTAAGACGCCCGAACCAGTGACTCCCAACGCGTCACAAACCTGACTAAATCTTCCAAGTCTGTCTCAGATTTTTTCACGAACCTTTTAAAAAACATTCGTTTGTGCTTCTCCATGACTCTTAGTTTCTCGTTGCCGTAATGAAAGGGACCAATGGAAACAACTTTTGGGTTATAGTAATAAGCATCTTCATTATTTGGGTCACGCATGGTATGGGGCACCCTGTAGCTACAACATTTTGTTGATGATGATAGGATCTCATCTTCATTAGTATCTTGCATCATTGCTTTAACATCATTTATCACCTTAGCTTCTATCATCTGTCCGGTTCGATTTAAAAAGCAATCAACTAGAAATTACATGGGCAATATATATATGTTTAAAATAGTAATTAAACCAAATCATTAAGGAAAGAAAGAAATTAGAATCGTACAGGATGTATGAATACTGCTGATTGTTCCAACGTTTCTTGAGAAATATCAGAGATCATCATGTCTATCTCTATGTTGGCCATCTTCCACAGAACTTTGTGTGCTTCTCCTGCAGGATGGTACACGTGGTAATTTGGGTAAATGTTATTTAGGCCAATTAAAACTAATTATTAATCAAATACTATTATATCGATTGTGATAGGGATAAGAAACTCTATGAGATGAAGCACTAACATTACTAGCAATATTTCAAGTTAGAAGGAAGGGTGTCAAAATCATGAGTTTATGCAAACGTGTGATAAAGACGGAAACTCGAATCAAAAACTCGAATAATAAATTCGTAACTAATTTACTTTTGTCAATAAATAGTTATTGAAAGCATATAATTAAATGATTAGAATACAAAAAATGACAAGTAATTTGTTTAAATATATTTCAATTTCAAATTATTGATTTTTTGAATAAAAAGCAATTGTATTATAAAATAATATATTAAATATTCAAAATATAAGTTCAATATAGGAGTCTCATGGAGAGAAACTCCTTAAAGATAAAGAATATAATGAAAAAGTATTAAGTCATTGAAATCAAATCCATCATAATTTATCATACTCGACATAAATATTTATGAAATTCAAAACTTGTTTTAATATTAGTTTCTCCTTTATGGTTTCTTATTCTCTTTGGATTGGGTTTTCTACATATTTTGTAAATTGAGTGCTATTCAATACATGTTTGATTCTCTTAACTCAATGAATACGATAAACTCATAAAGCGGTTAACTCATGAGTTTAACTGAATTTATAGCTAGAATGGGTTGCAATATGAATTAACATAATTTTGTAAGCTATAAATATAAAATGATGAATTTTGCAAGTCAACTCCCAAGTTTGATGATAGTGGTTAGAAGCAAAGAGCTAGAGAATAAACAGGTTTTTTTTACCACGGAAAAGTAATTAAACAAATCAGTAATAAAAGATATGCCTACTTGAAACTTAAAAGTTAAGCTGTAATAAATTTCTTTTTAAGGACTGTTTTTTAATTTCAGAAAAGTTCTATAAGTAGAATTTAAAAATGGTTGAAAGGCTAATAATCGACGAATTGATTAATCTTGTATTTGAAATCTGACAAGCCATGAGCAAAGTTAAAGGAAAGTGAACAAAATGAGGAAAATAATTCACTACTGAATGAGAATACCTTGTGATATTCAAAGCGAATAGAATGAGTTTTGATGAGAGGTTATGCAACGACTGTGTTTCTGATGTTCAATTGTTGAGGTTCCACTTACTGTGTATAGTCTTTACTTTCGATATGTCCCTCTACAAGCTACAAGTGCTCTTTCTCGTTTTTTTTTTTTTTGGAAAATAAATATTTTCATTACGTTGCAAGGAAAAAGATACTTGAAATATTTTTGTGGGTACTTTGAAAAGCCACTTGTAGTTTATGGTTCATGAGTAATTTTTTGATGTCGTTTATTTGGACTGGTTTTGTGTATTTTTTTTATTTCATATTTTACAATTGTTTTATTTCATTATATTATATTGTATTTTTTGCATCTTTTATGCTCTCCTTTTTCTAGGAAATATTGAACCAAATCACATGGATAAGAAATTAGTTAAAATTGGTTAAAGACTATATGCATGTAAAAAATTATAAGCTTAAGGAAAAGAATAAGGAAATTACTAAAATAAAAAGAATGATGTTCTGTGAAATGAGATGATAAACATGTATATTGAGTATTAAAATAAATAATTAACGAGGACAAAATAGGAAACTAACCAAAAAAAATTGAGATATCTGACAAACGTTTTTTTTTTTTAATAAATAGGGATAAGATAGAAACTGTAGTTATTTTTCTTTTTATAAAAAAGGATTAATTGGAGTGTTTTATATTGGTTGTAATAATGTTTTCTTCAACAAATTGTGGAATGTGGTACAATGGTGATTTCTCTTTTTCGCTTCTCCCCTTGATGATACTTGATCTATAATTATGCCATCCTCAATATGCGTAAGATATGTTTCTTTCAAATACTCATTATATTCTTGATTTTTTAATTACGTACGATGCAAGGAAAAGTAATTCTCTTGAGAAAGATTTATGAGGGTAGTTTGAAAAGTAAAAATTGATAGCACAACAAGCTAAACTTTCAGGGTATTTTGGTTTAGTGTACAAATTTCTTGTGTGAGTGAAATAATCAGGTAAATTATAATTGAAGTTTGATTCCGTGATAGATCTGTTGTAATATCTTAATTTAATTTTGTACTTCTATGTGTTTATCTTACACATGTAAAAACGGAATCTGATAAAACATTAATTCTAGCTTATAAAGTATTTATTCTTTTCATTTATATATTACTATAATTTGTGATTTCTTAAATAATGGCCCTATCAAATTCTAGTTCCATTATCTCTAAAATAAATAATTTATTAGTTATAGTATTATACAAAAGATAAAAACATTTACAATAAATAAAAACAGCCTTATGCACTGATTTCACCAATTATTTTCCCCTCTTTTTCCTAGTATGCACTTTGTTTACTATATAGTGAGAGGATTTAACAACAATAACAAGTCTTATTTCATAAGTAGGCTTGGTTATTACAGATTTCATGATGCTATTATGCTCTATTAGCAACGAAATTAGTAGCCAAATTGTTAGCCAAAAGACTTGATATTTTTTTATCTATCCTCTTCCCCAGCTCTACCAGTGACTCTTTGTGCATGTCCAAACCACGTCAAGCAATTTTCTAAACCATAGTCTTCGTCCATCCAACGCTGCTCTTTGACCAGTTTGAAGAGGTGGGGCCGTGATTATTAGGCTGGTGTCCCGCTCTACTATGAATAATAAACTAATGTAATTTTTTTTTCATAATTTTTGTATGTGATATGTACGTTGATTTTAAAAGCTAAATAATGGACCCAATGCTTGGTCTACAAATCATAATCAATTCACGAATTATCTTATGTTGAACAATTTATGGATAAGAGAATATGTCACTTCACCTTTTACGCAAAGGTTTTTGGAACTTTCGGAACTTCATTTATAGCCTTCCCTGATTTAGTTCATCAGGAAAGGAAGAAGAGAGCAACCGGTATCATGGGTTCATCGGAAAATTTGATTTAGGTTCAAGGGCATTCTAATGATTAAAAAAATAGTTCCCACGTGTAGAATGAGGAGTACTAAAGCCTATTGAATGCTCGAAGGAGGATGATTCTGTGGATCGGGCTGGTTCGTATTGAAGATGACTCTGATGCATATTGAAAGCCAGAAAGTAAGGAACATATAATAAATGCGGCTGTGCTCCTTTGTTTATTTTGAATGCACGGTTCACTGCAAGCCTATAATTATATGTGGTTATTTAGGCTTGGTATTTTTTTATAATCAATCCCACCATACTTATTACTCCTCTGGTCTTATTTATAAGGTACTTCCATCATGTTTTACACAGACTAAGAAAAACTTTAAACTATATTAACTCTTCATTAAAATATACCAACTTTCTAATTTTACCTCTACTTAATATATACACCTTTCAAAACAAATAACTATATCTACACTATAATAAATAAAAGACAATATCGTACAATCATAGTAAAAATTTAATGAAGTGACTTATAAATAGGAGAAAAAAAATCTTTTCTCTCTGCCCTGTAAATAGGACCAGAGCAGTATTTTTCTTATGAATAAAGCTTTATGTGAGTTGGTTCCTAAGAATTTATTAAGGCCAGGGCATGCCTCCACATTCAGATAGTGGTTATAGAGGTACTCAAAGATCATCTATCAACAAGGTTCTCACAAGGCACTAGGATTGTTTTTATGTTATAAAATATTTTTGTTTTAATATGTCCATCTGGGGTCAAGCCATCGAGTAAATGTTTAAAATTACTACGTATACAAATTGTTGATTGAGTCTGTATAGTTTGGGATGGAATATCCCTAAGCCGTCGCATAGTAGTTAATTATGAGATTCTTAAGCTTTTGAGACTAGGTTAAAAGAGATAGTCATCAGTTTGCAGTGGATAAAATCAAAATGAGACTAAGCCGTTGGAATGCTAATGTAGTCTCTCTAGCTATTGTTTAAGCCATCCCTCTCTCCTCTACGCATTGTGTATTACCTATGTCAAAATTGGTAGGAAAAATTCAGGTTTACCTACCCTATGGGCAGTAGCTGTGGCATCTCAAGGCTAATGCTATATATCACCAATACTTACTCTTCAGTTAATAAATCTTAGTTGGAAATTGCAAACTTATCAAAGGCCAAAATGTAGTAGAGAGAGAAAGGAAGGAGAGAGAGTGAGAATGGAAGGGAAGCGAGCAAGAAGGCGAGTGGGGGTTTGGTTCAGCAAGGCAAGCGAGAAGAGGGCGATGATGGAGAGGGAATAACAGCGTTTGCATAAAAGGAGACTCGATTTTTTTGGGGGCGAGGAAGATGAGGAAGAAGATGTGTGCCACGCCAGCATAAACTACATTCATAAAAGCTAAGCATACAATAAGGACTCAATAAAAGCAAAAAGAAAAAAAAACTATAAGAACCTGAAGTAAAATTGAGTAAAACAATAAGCACTAACAAATTAGTTTTTCCTTATTGTTATTCTTCAGTAAATATATATTTTAGCAACTTAGGTGCCAAAAACATCATTTTTAATGTTTACGCATAATGTTCGAGTCTTGAGAAATAATAAATTGTAATAATTTAGTTAAGGATTAATATAAGTTTAGGTTCCCGAAATTTAGGTCTATTTTAGTTTGGTCTCTCAAATTTTAAACATGTGGTTTTAGTTCCTGAAATTTAGTTAATTTTAAAATGTTAGTCCCTAGAGCTGTAACACTGTTAAAAACAGCTGTAGAAGTATCACAAACTTTTTAAAAGGGTAATTAACTTGTAATGGGAAAAATATAGTTTAATTGCCTAAAGTAGACTCAAGGTAGAAACACAAGAAAGTAAAGCTTAAACATAAGAAGAACGAAGAAGCATTATTAAGCAGCAAATTAAACTAAAGGTCTGATAAAAAAGAAGCAGACTTAAAGTGCATATCGTCCTAGTGGAAACCTATTGCAGCTTATTGATCAAACAATCTAAACACAATATCCTTTTCTTTTTTGCCAATGCAGATTTGGATTCTATGAAGATTAAAGAAGAGCACGCAGGTCATCAAAGTATCAAAGCAATTCCTTGGCAAAGGCTCTTTAATTTGCTCAAGTAATTAATTTTTTACTATTGATAGAGATATTGCCTTTACAAAAGCACTCAATTAGAATCATTGAAATTAAAACATAAAGCTCCAGACGTCCTATAGACGTGGTTTTCCATCGAATCCAATCCATGTTCTTGCAACTTTCACACATTGAAGCCACTTGTTGCAGCTTCTGCAACACCAAAACTTCCTCCATTTGTCCCGCACTTGCGCGCGCGCACACATTTATTTATATACTTGAAGTGTGCCGTGGGTAGTTTCTACTGCAATTAACTCATATTTCTACAAACTCTTTTGGAGTCTTTTGTTTTGGGCTTGAAGGAAAATAAAATTTTAATGTGACCCTAAACACCAACCAACGCAATTGACTTAGCACATTATTATACTCCCTCCGTCCCATGTTATGAGCAATCTTGTACTAAATTACGTAAATCAAAGTAATAGTTAAAATTAGTTAAAGATAACAAATGTGTAAAAATTAGATTTTTTTCTCTCCAAAATACCCTTATTTATGATAGGAGAATAAGAAAGAGAAAGAATATATAAAGAAAAGAGATTATATTAAAATAAGTATTTATTAGGGGCAAAACAGGAAATTTGTTATAAAAATGTAAAACAACTGTTAAAAGTTGCTCGTATTCATATTGAGGGACAAGATAAAGATAGTAGTTGTTGCTTATAATATGGGACGGAAGGAGTATTAACTAATTGTACAAGCAAGAAATCAATAATAAACGCCACTGCCAAATCAAACAGGAAAAAATTTGACTTGACCCGCTTCAACTGAGACACGGCGTCTATTTATTCTTTTGTATTTTTTGAGGCTAACGTTGTGGGTTGCGGAGCATAGCAGATCGACTTTCTTATCCTCCTTCACATCTGCTCATCATTATCGCTTGGATCTGTTGTTTTGTTGACTAAGTTTAGATGGCAGAAGCAATCCATACTGAGAGTCACTGGGAGATGCCTCATGGAATGAACCAAACAGAGATGGCCTCTGAGAATGCTCAACAAATGGTGGAGCTGAAGAGGCCACTTCTCTCACCTCACCCTACAGATTTATCCTCCAATCACTTGCAACAACAACAAGTATGCATTATCCTTTGCCAACACTTTTTGATTCCGAATCCTTTTCTTGTTTTCTCAAGTTTCTTTGTGCTTACTACTTTTAAGGTTGCTTCTGTTTATATAATTCCTCAGCTATTAGAGTTCTTTAGCCACATTTTTGTTTTTCCATTCAAAGATATACACTTGTCAGATTCCAAATATATGCATCTAATGCTTTTCATTCGTGATGGCTTCTCTTAATTTTGTTACACTGCGTTTAATTTGGTCGCGCCTTGTAAGGTTCATTGGAGCCTTTTTTTGTCCTTTTCTTACCAAACGGTGATGAGATTACATTTAAGTTATTGAGAAAAGAAAAACATTTATATTTCCTAAGCTTTAAGGTCACCTTCATTGCTTTGCTAATATATAATTTGAGGTTTCCTTCTGAATCTAAATTGATGTATAGACGGAAGAAGAGGCGATCAGCATAGACATAAAAGCAATGACAGAGATTAGCGAAGATGGTCTCTTCTCGCCTTTGTGTTGTATCTACAAGGTGCCCACAAAGATCCGTCTTCAAAACGAGGAAGCTTACACTCCTAAGGTGGTTTCCATTGGTCCTTTCCATCATGGTGATGAGAGGCTCCAAGAAATGGAGAGGCACAAAGAAATAATGTTTAAGAGATTTGCACAAAATGCTATGACAGACTTGGACAGTTTGGTTAAGTCAGCGAAACAATCTGAGCCAAAGGTCCGTGCTTCTTATTTTGAGAGCATCAACTATGACAAGCAGGATCTTGTGAAACTGATATTAGTGGATTCTGCTTTCATCATTCAACTCTTTATTATGGATTATGAGGACTATGAAGATCAGCTGACACACGATGCTAAACTATCACAATCACTGTTGATAGAGGATATATGTGATGATTTGCTTTTACTTGAGAATCAACTTCCATTCTTTTTCCTTGAAGAGCTATACAATATAGCCTTTCCTCGTAATCATAGAGGTGATCTCCCTTCATTTCTTGAGCTTACATATTCCAACTTTGACTGGCTTAACAAGCAAAAGTTAGAGCCTGATCATAAGATAGAGCATTTCACAGATCTTCTTAGATTATTTTATTTACGGATAATTAAACCAGGAAGGGATTTCTTCGAAACGGGTGGATCCGATATGCTTAGGTATAGTGCCAATGAGCTACAAGAGGCAGGAGTGAAGTTTGGGGTAAGCACAAGCAAGTGCTTACTAGACTTGGAATTTTCAGGATCTGTTCTACAGATTCCTCAAATTAAAGTCACAGATAAGACTGAATTTTTGTTCCGAAATGTGATGGCTTTAGAACAGTGTCATTATCTGTCTGAAACATATTTTTGTGACTATACGCTTGTATTGGGCAACCTAGTTAACACAAATAAAGATGTGGAGGTTCTTGCTCATAAGAAGATTATCAGCAACTGGCTAGGTGATGCGAAAGAGGTTGCCACATTAATTAACGGTCTTGGGAAAAATATATCTCACTGCAATTTCAATACAGAACACCTTGACATTTCCAAAAGGTTGAATGAGTTTTATGAAGATCCTTGGCACAAGAAAAAGGCAGCTTTGAGGAGAGATTACTGCAACACACCTTGGCAAACTGTGGCTTCTATTGCTGCAATCATACTTCTCATTCTCACCATCACTCAAACTGTATGTTCCATCCTCCAAGTTGTATAAAACCAGCAACCTTCATTTGAAGCTTGGTAGTATATTTTTAATTTTCTGTCCTTGAAAATTTATGTTCTCCTGCTGATTTTATTCAGCCTTTACTGTTGCACCATCTGTAAAATGATAATAATGATGATGATGATTGTGATCCCTTATTCTTCGTTTTCTTTATCACAAACAACACAATATAGAGCCGATTCTGATTAGGTATAAAATATCAACTCTTTTCCATCCAATAATTTACAAAATCACTTACCAAAATATTTATGTATAAAAATGGGAAACCATTATTGCAATAGGTACTGAAAATCAGACAGATCATTAAATTGTTGGAGGAAATGGTTCAAGGATAAGTTGGTTCAAGCCAAGATCAACCCAATGTCTAATCTATCATGTTTAAAATAATATAATTTGATTAAGATATATAAAAATTCATATCTAATCCTGAAAAAAGTAATATTTAGATTAAAAGACATTAATTCACAAGTATATATAAATCACACATAATCCAACAAAATGGATTTACTAAAACACATATATGACTGAAGAGAGACAAAAATATAAAATTTAACTTGATTAGCCTGTCCAAAACTCTTAATCAGATCAGTCATGAGATTCATTTATCGATTAAATTGGTTGACCCGCATTGAGTTTTCATACCAATTTGCATGACACATTGTATTATAAATTTTTAAGAATTCAAAGATAATTATAATTAAGAATGGAGGGATCGATTTCAAAAAATATGAAATCTAAATAATTAAATTTGATATGATCGGCTATTATAAACTGGCAGTGAACTCTCCATTCAATATAAAGGAAGTAGCACTGCCGCGGTTAATATGAAGAAGCTCTATATATCCATAGAATCATGAGAACTAATTTTTTATGACTAGAGTGCCCTTATTTTGCACCTAGATCAAATTTTCAAATGAGCCCATCCTTTCAGCGTGTATTACAATTGTCCTTGTTTTGGAATAATTGTACAATGAGTTAATTTTCAATGTTATTGAAAGTATATCTTTCAATTATTGAATGTATATCTTTCAACATAAGTTACTGGACAATCTTCATAATTTTTTTTATTTAAAAAAAGCGCTTTCTCCTGCTGTTGTGTCGACAAGCACAACCATTGTTGACTTCAGAAATAGAGAAGCCCATAGATATATAAACATGTGTTCCAATTCAATTTCAACTAGATATATAAAAATTCAATTTTTATAAAAATGATGAATTTTGCGAGTCAACTCCGAAGTTTGATGATAGTGGTTAGAAGCAAAGAGCTAGAGAATAAACAGGTTTTTTTTCCCACGGAAAAGTAATTAAACAAATTAGTAATAAAGGATATGCCTACTTGAAACTTAAAAGTTAAGCTGTAATAAATTTCTTTTTAAGGACTAATTTTTAATTTCAGAAAAGTTCTATAAGTAGAATTTAAAAATGTTTGAAAGGCTAATAATTGACGAATTGATTAATCTTGCATTTGAAATCTGACAAGCCATGAGCAAAGTTAAAGGAAAGTGAACAAAATGAGGAAAATAATTCACTACTGAATGAGAATACCTTGTGATCTTCAAAGCGAATAGAATGAGTTTTGATGAGAGGTTATGCAACGACTGTGTTTCTGATGTTCAATTGTTGAGGTTCCACTTACTGTGTATAGTCTTTACTTTTGATATGTCCCTCTACAAGCTACAAGTACTCTTTCTCTCTGTTTTTTTTTTTTGGAAAATAAATATTTTCATTACGTTGCAAGGAAAAAGATATTTGAAATATTTTTGTGGGTACTTTGAAAAGCCACTGTTAGTTTATGGTTCATGAGTAATTTTTTGATGTCGTTTATTTGGACTGGTTTTGTGTATTTTTTTATTTCATATTTTACAATTGTTTTATTTCATTATATTATATTGTATTTTTTGCATCTTTTATGCTCTCCTTTTTCTAGGAAATATTGAACCAAATCACATGGATAAGAAATTAGTTAAAATTGGTTAAAGACTATATGCATGTAAAAAATTATAAGCTTAAGGAAAAGAATAAGGAAATTACTAAAATAAAAAGAATGATGTTCTGTGAAATGAGATGATAAACATGTATATTGAGTATTAAAATAAATCATTAAAAAAGTAATTAATGAGGACAAAATAGGAAACTAACCCAAAAAAATTGAGATATCTGACAAATGTTTGTTTTTTTTAATAAATAGGGATAAGATAGAAACTGTAGTTATTTTTCTTTTTATAAAAAAAATATTAATTGGAGTATTTTATATTGGTTGTAATAATGTTTTCTTCAACAAAATGTGGAATGTGGTACAATGGTGATTTCTATTTTTCGCTTCTCCGCATGATGATACTTGATCTATAATTATGCCATCCTCAATATGCGTAAGGTATGTTTCTTTCAAATACTCATTATATTCCTGATTTTTTAATTACGTACGATGCAAGGAAAAGTAATTCTCTTGAGAAAGATTTATGGGGGTATTTGGAAAGTAAAAATTGATAGCACAACAAGCTAAACTTTGAGGGTATTTTGGTTTAGTGTACAAATTTCTTGTATGAGTGAAATAATCAGGTAAATTATAATTGAAGTTTGATACCGTGATAGATCTGTTGTACTCCTCCGGTCCTAATTATAAGACCCAATTGACTTATTTGAGGAGATTAAGGAAGTAAGTTAAGTTGGTTATTTATAATAAATAAGTGTTGTTATTCCTAAAATATCCTTGCTAATTAAGTATATTGGCTAAAACTATCATTATTAGAAGGATTATCTTGGAAAAAAATACATAAATATAAGAGAGAAAATGGATTGGGTCTTATAATTAGGACCAAATAAAAAGTCAAATTGGGTCTTATAATAAGGACCGGAGGAGTAATATTTTAATTTAATTTTGTACTTCTCCGTGTTTATCTTTACACATGTAAAAACGGAATCTGATAAAACATTAATTCTAACTTATAAAGTATTGGGAAAATTCTAATTAAATCCATTTGAAATAGCAAAATTCTAATTTAAGCCTACACTTTTAACAAATTCTTAATTAGGCCAGGAGGCCTAATTAGGGATTTCTAAATGTTGTTAAAAGACCAAAATGCCCTTCATAATTAAAAAGCCTAATTTTAGTTTTAATTCTTTTAATTGAATTTAACTAACATGTTTTTTCTTTAAACATTATCACATGAAAATTTGGCCAAAAACATTATCATATAAAAAACAAAAACAAAATCACGATTATGGTCAATAAAAAATAATTAAAAATTCAAGATAAAAAATATATATAATTTCTATATATCTATAGAATTGCAAAAATATGGGAACTAATAAAAATTTTACGATTTCAAATGTAAAAGATTAACAACATCAAAGATTTTTTTTTGTGCGAGAAAAAAATCAAATCAAAGATTCATGGAATTCTTAAATATCTTTCAAAATTAATTTTACTATTTCACGACTTACATTGAGACTCATCAATTCATCTTCAATTTTCCGGTCTCCAAGATTTATTCAATATCAAATTTTACTAGAGTTGACATAACATTCACAATTACAAAATACACATTTGACATAAAATCTAAGAAAGACCACGTCCTCATTAGTAAATCTACTAGAATAATTAAAACTAAAATCAGATTTACACCTACATTCAATTTTCCATTTTGATTACAAAGAGGCATTCTAGTCTTTCAGCAACATTTGAAAATCCCTAATTAGGCCTCTTAGCCTAATTAGGAATTCATTAAAAGTATAAGCCTTAATTGGAATTTCATTATTTTAGATGGATTTAATTGGGATTTTCCCTAAAGTATTTATTGTTTTCATTTATATATTACTATAATTTGTGATTTCTTAAATAATGGCCCTATCAAATTCTAGTTCCATTATCTCTAAAATGAATAATTTATTACTTATAGTATTATACAAAAGATAAAAACATTTACAATAAATAAAAACAGTCTTATACACTAATTTCACCAATTATTTTCCCCTCTTTTTCCTAGTATACACTTTGTTTATAGTGAGAGGATTTAACAACAATAACAAGTCTTATTTCATAAGTAGGCTTGGTTATTACAGATTGCATGATGCTATTATGCTCTATTAGCAATGAAATTAGTAGCTAAATTGTTAACCAAAAGACTTGATATTTCCTGATCTATCCTCTTTCCCAGCTCTATCAGTGACTTTTTTCATGCATGTCCAAACCACATCAAGCAATTTTCTAAACAGCCCTTGTATTGGTGATGAAAATAAAATCTTAAAAATAGAAGAAAAAATTGTGTTTTGTGACTATCGATTCTAGAGATGTTCATATACTCCTCTGGTCCTATTTATAGGACAGAGAGAGAAGATTTTTTGGGTCCTATTTATAAGTTACTTCATTAAATTTTTATCATGAATATACTATATTGTCCTTCATTTCTTTTAGTGCAAATAGTTTTTTTTTTGGTTGAAAGATGTATATATTAAATAGGGGTAAAGTTGAAAAGTTGCTATATTTTAATGAATAGTTAATATAGTTTAAAGTTTTTCTTGGTCTGTGTGAAACATGTTAAAAGTGTCTTATAAATAGGACTAGAAGAGTAGGTTTTAGAGGCAGAAGAGATGTAGCTAACTGTAATTAAAATGATACAGGGAGTAGTTTATGTATTTTATTCAGAAGTATTCTATATTAAGCCGCAGAGATAGTATTAAAAAATGAGACTGAATGCACGGAGCCACGTACGACATGTTATAGGATTGCCTACCAAATCACTGCAACTTATTTAATATGTCCTCATTGATACTGTCAGTGACCATTTTACTACGGTTGTTTGTGAGGGGAAATGCAAGTTTAAAAATGATTATAAATACGTTTTGTTATGAAAAATGAGAAAAGTACAAAGATTGAGATGAGGGAGATGGAGAAATTAAGAGGAAATTGGAGGAGAAATTAAGGGGGAGTTCTCATTCACTTCATTGTCTCAAATGTGTGTACATCATCTCCTATTTATAGGACCCCAATA